TCACAACAAATTGTGAGACTTGTTACTGTTTTTGGCATATCGAATACGTTACGAGGAGCTTGCCAGGTTTTGCCGTGCGGGAGAGATACTCTCAGTAGCTTGCCAGGGTCTCCAAGGGGGGCGGAGGAATTGAACCCGGGTTGGCCACGTGCAAGGCAAACGCCTTACCCACTGTGCTACCGCTCCAGCCCAAATTACCGGTAGATTAAAGACTTTAATCAAAGAGCAGGAGGAAAAGAAGTGGGAGGGGGGAGCCAGGAACACATTAAAAGAAAACAATTTCGAGAGAGAGGGAAGGAGAGGGAGATCTTGGAATGAAGAGAATCTTACAAATATGATAGAAAACTTACAACCCACTTTTAAAAAATCACAAATCTGGCTCCACAAAAATAGAAATTTACATTACCAACTATAAAATCAAAGCAAGCAGGTGTGTGGTGGTAGAGTACTGCTCACATGTGAGGTTCTCGGCTCAATCCAAGAACCACAGGATAAAAGAAACTGAACGGAGGGGTGGGGGCAGCCATGGAGTGCTCAGGGCTGACTCTCAGCTGTGCTCAGGGAACCCTAGGTAGTGGCAGGGATCAGACAAGGGCCAGCCACGTGTGAGCCAAGTACCTGGACAATCTCTCTAGTCCCTCCCTCCAAGAAGTTTGAGGCTCACTCTTATTAAAGTTCGAGTTCTCCCTTGAACACAATCTCTGGCTTACATGTATTTGCTTGCCTATCTCTACTCTGGAGAAGCCTGTGTTCTCTCACACATATAATCCTCCCTTTCTTCCCCCTCACATCTTTCTAAATAAGTTTCAATAGTTTCTTCTTGCTCCAACAGATAATAATAGGGGCCAGAGAACTAGCACAGAGCGGAGGGTATTTGCCTTGCAAATGACCTACCCAGGTTCAATCCCCAGCATCCCATATGGTCCCCTGAGCACCGCCAGGAGGAATTTCTGGGTGCAGAGCCAGGAGCAGGCCCTGAGCATTGCTGGGTATGAAACAAAAACCCCCCAAAATAATAATAGTTTGGGGGTGGGGGCATTTCCAGCAATGCTAAGGCCACCCCTGGCTATGCTCGAGTCACCCCGATGGTGTTGGGGTGGGGGTGGGGGATGATACACAGAGCAGGGGTTTCAGGTAATGGTCCAACAAGTGCACCACGAACCACTTCCCGCTGTCCTGCCCCCAAACCCCATTTTTTATGGCACTCTTGGCTCTGCATTCAGGGGATGCTCCTGGGAGTGCTTGGGGGGCCCACATGTGGTCAGAGGGTGCTTGGCAAGTGCCCTACCTGCTATATCTCTCTGACCCCCCACCCCATAGTTTTTTAAGTCTTAACAGGGGTAAGGACTGTGGCAGCAGCAGAACACTTGCAGGGGTCAAAAGGATAGTACAGCCTTGCACATGACTAACCCGGGTTTGATTCCCAGAACCCCATAATGTCCCCTGAGTACCACCAGGCGTGATCCCTGAGCGCAAAGTCAGGAATGAGCAGAGCCAGGAGTAAACCCAGACTCTGTATGGCCCAAAATAAATACAAAAGACGAACACACACAATAAAAAAAGCAAACCACAAATTATAATCTGACAAAGAAAATTTTCTTAAACTTACAAAGCATTTCTAAGAAGCAATAAGACCACAACCCCCAATTACAAATAGTCAATTTTTTTAAAGTGTTCAGCCCCATCACATGACTCAGAAAAATCAAAGACATGAAACAATTTTCATAAATTACCTTTGAAAAGACTGGCTAGGTAAAGCTGACCGCCAATATAGGCTACAGGAAGCTAGAAGGCTGTGAGATGACCTCTATAAAGAATCTAACTCCGGAAATTCTGATGCTAGTAAGGAATCTGCTCCGTGAATCGTGTATTTAAAAAGTGCTCATTGGAACATTATTTGGAATGACCGAATGTACTGAAAACCTGAAAGTGCAACAACAAAGCCTGGTTAAAACCACTTCTAGGGGCTGGAGCAATAGTACAGCAGGGAGGGCATTTGCATTGAACGCGGCCCACCCGGGTTCGATTCCCAGCACCAGGAGTAATTCCTGAGCGCAGAGCCAGTATTGCCGGGTGTGACCCAAAAAGCAAAAAAAAAAAAAAAAAAAAAAAACCCACTTCTAAGGTCAAACTCATACCATTAAATGCTACAGGCATGTCTGGTGTTTTATTACTCTGTAATACCAGAGTAAAGAGTCTGCTCTATCAAATGAAAATGAAGACACAGGACAAGGAGGTGGCTCACAGGGCTGGAGCATATCCTGGCATGTGTGAGATCCCAAGTTCCATCCCCAGGGCCCCCAAACACCAGTGGGGCATCCCAGTGAGGAGCAGCACTCACAGCCGGGCACAAGCAAAAACCAGCTGTCTGACTGGGAGTCCAGGCCCCGGGAGAGCAGGGAAGGGGGGAAGGGGGAGCCCCTGGCATTGGGGAGGCCTATGTGAACACAGGATTCCAATGTGTGTGGCCCTGAGTTTAACCCCTGGCAGGTGAAAATAAAATAGAAGTGGAGGAAATTATATGTACACACCCAAAAAAATCCGGGAAATGACTCAAAAGTTATGCAAAGGGAGAGCAAGGAAGGAACTACAATTTTTCTTTTCACGATTTCAATTTCCGCGTGCACATGTGTATCTCTGACAACTTCCTTCCTTCCTTCCTTCCTTCCTTCCTTCCTTCCTTTTCTTTTAATGTACTCAACAAAAGATTATCTCAACTAAGGCACACCAAACAATAAAGACACAAACTTCAAGGTAGTTTTTTTTTTTTCAAACATTTACTGAACACAAACACCATTTTTTCCTTTTACACAGCAATATTGTTAGTTTCGTATTAGCTGAGCTATTAGGACTGTCAATTGGCATGAAATTAACAATGATTCTACATGTCAAAACTCAAACAGGAAATGTCATGCACTATATAAACCACTAATAGGTCTCTGATGCAGCCAGCAAGTTTACTATGTTTATTAAAAATCACGTACATGATCTGACAAAAGTGCCCAACAGAATGACATCACTGGTCTGTTATGACTCACAATGAACCACTAGAACAGGACAATGTTGTTCCCCTGCATGGAGGACAGCGGGAGGGGTGAATACTATAAAGGAGAGGGTCTTTTGAACACATCAGGGCAGTAAGATTTTACTCCCCAGCTAGGTACCTCTGAACAGACTGTTTAGGAAAGCTGAGGTTTTTTCCCTCATCTCTTCACCTCTACCAATTATTAAGCAACAACGAAAAAAGCCATGCACAAATTTTACACAACCTGGTAAATTAAAGAACAAATACAAACCCTCACTTCGGCGCTTGGCTCACAATCTTCGCTCCTTTTCTCCTACCAGGCCATTCATCACATAACTCAGCCTAAATGAAAAGCTGTTAATAATTCATCAGTACTCACCCCTGGATGCACATCGAGAGACACTCCCCACGACCATGATCCATTGTACCTTCCCTACACATGGACACAAAGGGACACGCCACGAACCTAGGGCTAGAGACCACATTTACTTTAGGGTTTTAAAAACCAATGTACTTATCACCACTATCAGCACAGGATTTACTTCTGATCCCATTTGGGGAAGGGGATGCTGGCCGGCCCAGCCCACGGGCAGATCTGGGCCAGGCTGCCAGCAGGCCTGCGAAAGCCGGCAAGAGCTGCAGAACTAGGGGCTTGCCCCTTCCCAGAGGACAGCTCGGAGCCAAGCAGCAGTTCCCCAGGGGAATGAACAGCGTCAGTCTGCATGGACCAGAGCTTGCTGTGGAGCCAAGGCAGCATCTTGCATTGTTACCCGATTCGATGTTACAGTCTAGTCAGAAGGAAAACAGTTTCACCTGCACATTGGTGCAGCAGGTAGCCTGAAAAGGAACGTTTTGAAGAAAAAAAAAAAAAAAACAGAAACTCTATCATAAAAACAAGTTCTTGCTACTTTTACTCATCTACTCACTTGGCTCAATCAGCAGCCGCTTCCCAAGCTAGCCAACAGGAACCCCTGGGCTTGCACCCCCCGTCCTCAAACCCAGAGCGGTCTTTCTTCATAAGGAGCTGCCTCCTGGGCGCCAGGGACTGGTACTAGGATGCTGGTCCCTTGGAATCAAATTTTCAAGAATATTTGTAAAAACAGCTAGTTCTTAAGCTGCTCACCCACATTTCACTCTGAAAGGCACTCACATCCGGGTTCCTCGCAGTTACCAGTCACTTCTCATCAGTTACCATGGAATGAAACCCTCCCCACAAAGCAAGTGAGACCAAAGCTTGCAGTTTAGGTGTTTGAAGAGCACACAGCCAAGTGGCTGGGAGCAGGACAGCGGCTCGTGGGGCGGCACGAGCAGGGGAGAATGGGGCTCTGCTGTGTCTGGGTTTCCACTTCTTTAAACTGAGGCCTTGGTCAGTCATACTACAAAGGGGAGGGCATTTGTCTTGTACTAGGAAGACCCGGGTTCAATCCCTAGCATCCCATACAGTCCACCCAGCACCCCAGGAGTGATTCCTGAGTGGAGAGCTAGGAGTCAGCCCTGAGCACTGCTGGGTGCAGCCCAAAAACCAAGAACAACAATAACAAAAAAAAAGATAGATTGAAGGATGCCACTGCTGCTCATTCCTCCTTGAGTTTGTTACCTAAAGGCAAGCTCCGCCTCACCAACTCTCTAGAAGCATGAAAATCCACCTCACACTGTTCACCCAGGCCCGAATCAGCCCAGGCAAAACCTCTCTAGTTCACCAGATTTACAGAACAATTACTAGGACAAAAAGTTTTGATTGTATTTGTAGTGTTATCAAAGAAAACTCACAACCCAAAGCATGATTCTACCAATAAAAAAGTTAACATGGTAAAAGCAGCTAGAAAACAGAAACGGCTTCGAGTCTCTGAGGGCTGAGATAAGTACCATCTTTCTTACTGAATTAATTTCCCGTAAAGAGAAAAAAACTTAAGTATCTGGCTAAACATTTTTAAAAATAATTCTATGAAAAACAAAGAAACAGGCACGTAGCTCACTTGTTTCAAGAATGGCTTTATACAGGTGTTTCACGATACATATTTGGATTTATTTTACAAGACAGAATAGACCCTTAGCAATCAGTGCACAATGTACTGCTATACTATAGTTTAAAAAACGAAATCTCAATTACCATTAGCAGAGTTCATAGGTTATCCCATGATCTTCTAATACTTTCTCCAACTTAGTCAGCATTCAACCAGTAACTTTACTCTCCGGCAGTCAGGTCCCTTCTCCAAAATCCTGAATGTCATTAATTTTGATGTCTGTATATATACATAGAATCATTATCCTCCCTTTGATAAATAAGCAATATCTAAAGTGGTGCTGTCCTGGGTAGCCAAAAGGATGAAATGGTTTTTATTTAAACATGCAACGTTATCTGATACATTTCAAGTTTTGGTGTTTAAACAATTATCACATTAGTAATGGAACCACTAGATACTGAGAACCGTGGGCCTTCCTCCGACTGTCGGCATCTGGGAAACTCGGGTCGGAGTGAGCAAAGGAGTGACCCACTCAACCTGAGAGATGCCTTTTCTCTTTCAGGCCATGTGCATGGCCAAAAGCAAAAGACAGTCGTTCCTTGGCTTACACCAGGAGCATCGGGGCCAGCTCAACTCTCTCCCTTTAAGTCATTCTAAAGCATTCCCAACAAAGATCGCTGGTTAGAAAACTGAAAGGCAGAATTTACCATCAAAATATTCCTCACTTGAAGCAAGAAGACACGAGTAATAGAAGTTCAGTCACTGCAGAAGTACCCACCCTGCATTACTGAGGAAAGCAAGGGTCCCAGGGCTCCCCGTCCCTGCTCCCTCCCACCCTTAACACACCTCACTCCAGGGGGCATCTCCAAGGCACACAAGGCTTGATCAGGATGTTCTAGACTGACTCCACCACGGGTCTTTCTCTGACATGCCACAAGGCAATAGTCACTCCTTCCATACAGCGAATGGTGGCTGGCACTGTCACAGGTTGGTTCTGGAAGTTTCTGGCTGCTGCTGCTGCTCCATTCAAATGCTCTCAAAGAGGGGAGCTGCCTGTCTGCACTCACACCCATGAACTAGAATAACTAAGGCAATCATTTGGCACTAGAGAAATACAGATCTATCGCGTTTTACCCTTTAGTTTTAACTTCAAGAGAAATAGGTATGTACCTTTCACTTGGATTTCTGCGATGCTTCAAAGATAATCACAGAATATGCTTTTTGAAACTGACAGAATGTTGCCATTAAAACAGAAAGAAAGAAAAAAAGACATCAAAGACTTCTTCCTAGGCTGTTAAAAGAAGTGACATTGTATGGTTGCAAATGTGCGGCCCTTGGACAAAAATACTTTCCTAAGTGGCAAATTATTTTCATTATCAGAAACATTTCATTTCCTATATATACCACACTAGTCATTTTTCTACTTATCAGACTAAGAAAGTTTTAAAAAAAAAATTTTTAAATATCCTGGTTCCTTTTCATCTGTCATATACACCTTAAAGGGAGGCAACAATAATGCCCTCTGGAAAAGCAATTTCCAAATTTCTAAAGGTTTCACACAAGAGGAATGGGAGCAGGAAAGGGACAAAAATAGAATTAATTAACTATATGGAGAGCATTTGTTTCATAAGAAAATACAGCATTCATAGTTTTTACATGTCTGTGAGCTAAGTTAAAATGCAGACTGCTGCAATTCAGATAAATTACATTAAAACAGAGACTTCAAAGAATTTTAGAATCCAAGCCCAAAGGCTAGTAGTCCATCAATATTCTCTAAAAAGCTGCTAAGAGGAGCTTCACTCTGTACACACCACCAACATAATGCAGCAACTTCAGTGGATTGAATTTTCAACTGTAACAATCAATCAGTACATTTTTGTCAATTCATCTGCAGCTCTGATTTTTTTTTTTAAATCCTCCAAAGGTTATAATGTGTCAAACACACCAGATAATGGGAAGTGAAAACTACCTACAGCAGGTCGCAGAACACCCAGGGATCCAACACTCTCAACGCTCCTTTCCCGGCTTCCTGCACGAGATCCTCACAGCTGCTCAAAGGAGGACACGCTGACACAGGCCTAACAGAAATACTTTTGTAGGCAGTTTTTTAAAAACATTATCAACCTCAAATCATAACTACCCTTTGTTACATAAAATATTTTATACTCCTTTTAAAAAAAGAAAACAGTTAAGTGACCAATATCCAAACACCTTAGATTATATTACACCTAAACAATGTGGCTTTGTTTAAAGTGTACTTGAAGATCAAATCACCAGATGAGGCAAAAAGACCAAATCGAAGGAAGGATGGGTGGGGAAGAAGGTAACAGAAAGGAAAGCAAAATTTATGAACACATAATTACTATTGTCTGTGATTAAAGTCCTTTACTTTTTAGCACCACATTAAACAATTTTACAGATTCAGTCACTTAATGAAATCCAACAAATTCTTCCAGAGTTCTGGGGATCTGGTCTTGATAGTTAATGTCATTGGCCCGAACTGCTCGGGCAGCCAGGCACTTGAGACTCATCTTCATCTGAGTTTTGAGGAGAATTTCGGAGACCCCCGTCGTGCTCTTATCCAGCGGCGTCTTGTTCTGCTTATTTGTCATGTCAGTGTGAGCGCCAGCTTCGACGAGGCTGATGATGATAGAGTGCAAGGTCAAAAAATCGCTGATGGGCCTGTTGTACTGGACGATAATGTGCAGGGCACTGTTGCCCTCGTTGTCTACTGCGTTCACCTCCGCGCCACAGTCCAGCAGGAGCTTGGTGACAAGTGCGTTGGGGAAGCTGCAGACATCATTGGTGTGGAAATCATCGACGGGCGTGTTGGAGTTGACGGCCAAATGCAGCAGCGAGAAGCCTTCGCGCGTGCGGGGGTCCAGGTGGATGAGGTTGTAGATCTGCGTGTTGATCCTGCACTGGTCTTCTTCGCTGCACTGGGTCTTGGTGGAGATGCACACCAGGTACAGAAAGGTGTAGAGATTACATTCATAGTTGTCCAGGGCACTGTGGACATCGGCATCAGGGACACTTCGGACCCTGTTCATACTCTGCTCTATTTCCAGAACACTGCATCTCAAAACACACTCAATGTCTGGGGCCTTCACAGTCTCGTTCAAATGTATCATCTGGGAGAAAACTTGAGCAAAGCGAAGAAGATCCTTATGGGTATTCCTGTGGCCTTTCTGCCTGAGGTGCAGGGCATGTAGCCACAGCTTGATACACTGTTCAAATTCCATGTTGTCTGCGTAAACAGCTCCCCGGTAAATAATAGGATGGGAAACATCAATGTTGTCAGCACCTAGAATCCGTTCACGAACTATAAGGCCTTCCATATGAAGAGCGTCTCGGTCTTGGCGAATGGACTCCAGTTCCTGAGGATTCCTACATTCAGTTCTATTCCCATACGCGTGGATCGGTGGTAGAACCTCTTTCTCGAGAATGTTATCGCCATCTTGAAACCTCTCCAACATAGCTAGATACAGATAGTGGTATGTCTTCATGATGTCATAGTTCTCACGATCATTTGCAAAGGAGGCACCCAAAAGTTCCAAAGCTTCGATCCGACTTCTTCGGTCACAGTCAGCATGAGAGAGCAAGAGCTCGACAACATCTGCTTTACAGCTCTCCGCAGCAACTTTCAACGGCGTCATCCCATGGCCATTGACCACAATAGCAGCGCGCCATTTTATCAGCTCTTTCACGATGTCTATGTGGCCAGCTTCGGCGGCGAAGTGTAACGCTGTGGCTCCGCAGTGCGCTTTGGCATTGGGGTCGGCCCGCTGCTCGAGAAGGTACCTGACCACGTCGGTGTGTCCCTTGTACGCTGCGATCATCAGGCAGGTGTTATCATACTTGTTGGCAATGCTGATGTTGGCATTGTTCTCCACCAAGTACTTCACAATGTCCAGTCTGCCATCAAAGCAGGCCGCCCGCAGGGGCGTCGAGTTAGTGACTGTGGTGTGGTTCACGTTGGCTCCGTGGCTGACGAGAAGCTTAACAACTTCGAAATGCCCAGCTCCTGCTGCACACCAGAGCGCGGTGGCACCGTCAATGACATACCTGGTCGGGACAAGGACAGAGAGTCAACCAGAAAGGACAGTTAAAGGGTACGCGCCCTTGCACCAACCCAGAAAAACAATTTACAGAACATACATAACTGACACCAGAGTGTAAGTCAAAATTAGGCCCACTCTCTTAGGTAGAGAACCTCACCCACTACGGCGAGTCCTGACCTAATATTGATGCAGGTTCTCAGAAAGAGACTTTAAACGAAAGAACCTACCAAATAGTCTGTTTCATCCAACGTTTGCTAGAATTCCTTTTTTTCCCCTCCTCACCAATGTTGTAATAAAGTATTATTCACAGACCTGATGTATTTGTACTGTGAGCTCAATGTTGAGTTGTCACTGTTATTAAGTACATAATAAAAATCTAAGAACAAAAACAAAAAATCCCCAACTTCTCAAGCAAAATTAAATGCAATTTCAGAAACACGGGAGGTCTGTAACTTCTTTACCACCAAGCTGAGTGACTGGATCCTAAAGAGCTATGTTCTTCCTCCTTCTAATCTCCAAGGTGTTAGTTTCTCAGAATACACCAATAAAAAGGCCACCCACACCCCACAGTATTAGAAAATGCTTTGAAGAAAATATTTGGGGCTAGAGAGTACTGTGGAAGGGGCCTGCTTTGATACAGCTGAGGGGTCCAATCCCCCAAAGCCCCACCAGGAGTGATTCCTGAACAGTCAGGAGTAAGACCTAAGAACCATCAGGTCTGCCCCTACACCCCTCACTCCCCGCAAAATGTAAAAGAAAATTATTTAAGCCGACAATTCTTCCCCTAAAGTACCTGATTGACTGACCTGCATGCAGCTGACACAGGTTTAATCCTCATACCACATTTTCTCCGGAGCCCCAGCAGGACTGATCCCTGAGCACAAAGCCAGGAGAAAGGTTCTGACCACCACCAGGTGTGGTGCCAAAACAAATCCAAACAAACAAAAAGTAAGTTTTATACACGGGTGTGAGTGCAAATTGCATACTGTGTGACTGTGTTTCCTTAACTGAACCACATGAGGAATAACAGGAAAAAAATGAGCATTCTAACAAACGAGGAAGATTATGATTTGGTTTTGTGGTTTCGATTTCAACAAGTACCAAATATATGGTATGTGTTAGGTTCACTCACTACTACTTATATAAAACTAATACAAAACTACTTATATAGGGGGCTGGAGAGATAGCACAGCCGGTAGGGCGTTTGCCTTGCACGCGGCCGACCCAGGTTCAATTCCAGCATCCCATATGGTCCCCTGAGCACCGACAGGAGTAACTCCTGAGTGCAAAGCCAGGAGTAACCCCTGTGCATCGCCGGGTGTGACCCCCCCCCAAAAAAAAACCTACTTATATGAAACTTTACTAATATATTCACTACTTACATAAAATAAAACTCTTCTAGGAGGTCAATGTTTACCAGTTTTCTACTTCAATATTTTCCAATTTTTTTCTTCTATTACCATCAAATCTAAAAAGTAGATCTTTGGTGGAGATATTTTGCCACATACTATCATGCCACACAGTATTAAATATAATATATACCACTAAAATATACTCAAAGCATTAAGGGGGAAAAAGGTCAACCAAAAGCAATATTCCCAGTGCCAAGTGTTAGCACAGCAGGCAGGGTATCTCCCTTGTATGCAGTCGCCAGGCTCGATCCTCACCATCCCATCCATTTCGAGCACTCCCAGAAGTGATCGCTGAGTGCAGAGCCAGGAAAAAGCCCTGAGAACCTTCTGATATGGCCGCCAAACAAAAACAACAGCAATATTCGCTCATAAACTAAGTATTTACCAAAACCTAAACCTCACTGAAGAGCATATCACTACCCAGTTTAGGAGTGGACTGGCTGGAGTGGATGGAAGGCCACCTTCACCCACGGTTAACTGAGGTTTGATCCCAGGCAATCCAGGAATGATCCCTGATCACTAAGCCGGAATAATTCCTGAGCCCTCAGGAACAATCCCTGAGCACTGAGCCAGGAGTAAGGCCTGAGCACAGCCAGATATCTCCCCCAAGCCCCAAAATAAATAAAAACGTTTTTTAAAAAATGATACGATGATATAAGCAAAATTGTATCTCCCATGAAATAAAGCAAAATATAATCCAACGTTGTTTAAAATTTAACCCCAACAACAGCAAAAACAATACCCGGTTATCATTTCTGCTCAAATCCAAGACCCACTTTACTTCAGTTTTAGATGATATAAAATGTTCACAAAGCAAACGCCTATGCAGAAGAGTTTCCATCTTAGTTACCGAAGAGGGCACTGGAATAGCATAAAACTGAGAGTGACTGCCTGCGCCCTGTCTATACACGGGGAGCATCGAGGTGATCCTGGAGGAAACCAGCACACAGGGCACTTAAAAGCTCCTAACTTAGTGGACAAAAGCAATAGCTTTTTTGATAATTAGGTTTCTGAAGTTTCATTTAAAAATTTTGCTTGGGGCTGGAGCAACAGTACAAGGGGTTGTACTTGCCTTGTATATGGCCAACGTGGGTTCATCCCTGGCATCCCACATGATCCCCCAAACACTCCCAGGGGTAATTTGAGTGCAGAACCAGCACAAGCCCTAAGCATCATCAGGCATAGCCCAAAAAACATTAAATTTTTAAAACTTATTTTGGGGGCTGGAGTGATAGCACAGCGGGTAGGGCATTTTGCCTTGCACACGGCCGACCCGGGTTCGATTCCCAGCATCCCATATGGTCCTGAAAACCACCAGGAATAATTCCTGAATACATGAGCCAGGAGTGAACTCTGTGCACTGTCGGGTGTGACCCAAAAAGCAAAAACAAAAAAAAAAAAAAAGTATTTTGGTTTCTGAGCCACACCTGGCAATGCTCAGGAGTTACTGCTGGCCCTGCTCTCAGGAATCATTCCTGGCAGTGCTGAGGGACCATATGGAATGCTGGGGATCGAACCTAGATTAGTCCCTTGCAAGGCAAACACCCTACCCACTGTACTACTGCTCTGGCCCACTAATATTTCACTTTAAAGAACAGTTTTTTCAAATTTTTTATTTGAATACAAAGTTGTAACACAAGGGGAGATAATATAAAGTTATAGTTACATAGTTACAGTGTTTCCCTGTACTCCATTAAAAGCCTGAAATTCTCAGATGTCAGAAACAGGAACTAGAAACTATGAAACTCTAGAAATGTTACATTAGAATAGGCATGGAGACTCACAAATGAATCTCAGAACAGAAGCTCCTGCAGAGATGTCTCCAGACCTGGCGCCAGCCTGGTTTCACGCCTGAGATGGGAGCAGGCATCCTTCCACCTGCCCCAAATAAACCCCGGCAGCCACAAACCTCCAGAACCCAATCGCCACCACCCTCACAGCCATCTTCACAGGCTCATCCTGGGCCCCTCACGCGAGGGACCAGTGCCATCCCCTCCCATCTCCTGCCCTTCCGGGGTCCTAGCTGTCACGCCCACAAACTGCCTCCAGGTGCCATTTAAGCGCATTAACAGCCATGATCCAGAGACTCACAAATCAATCTTGGAACCAACCAACTCACTGCAGCGATATCTCCAGACCCCAATTATTTAAAATTTTAGAATTCTAGAAGCACAGGGCCGCGAAAAGCAGCAGGGCGACATCTTATACTTTATTTTTACTTTTTTTGTTGAATCACTGTGATAGACCTTTATAGACATCTCATACTATTCATAACAAGCAACACGAAATAAATTATCTAGCACCTGCCTGTGAGGCAGGATTGAATGGTGGTGGGAAGGTATAATGGTGGTGGGATTGGGTTGAAAGAGAAAATGTAATCAGTCATTGTGAACAATTCAAAAAAAATAAAATTTTAAAATTTTAAAAATTGAATAAATAAAAATAAAAGGTATGGAGGAACATAGTATGAGACTAATACCAAAAGACAACAGAGGGCCAGAAGGACTAGTCCACGGTAGGAAGCTTTGTTGGGGGGAAGGGTTGCAGGTAGGACAAGAGAAAGGACCACTATGACAATGATAGTTGGAAATGATCACTTTGGACAAGAACTAAGTCCTGAAAGGAGGAAAAAGAATATGCACTGTAACCTTTCATAACAGTACTGCAAACCAGTGTCTGAAAGGGGGGTGGAGGGAGTGCCATAGAGGCAGGCTGGGTGGGGGTTTGGGGGGCTAATGTAGCAGGTGGGAATTTGGGAACACTGGGGTAGGGAGTGTGCTGTTCACTGGTGAAAGAACGAAGACTGTGTAACTGAAACCCAATCATGAACAACTTTGTGTATCTGTCTAACTGTTCATGTGTATCAGGAGCAGTTAAGTGTATGTCATGGTGATTCAATTTAAAAAAAAACAGACATGGAGGGCCAGACAGCACAGGTGGTAAGGTGCTTGCCTTGCAGGCAGCCAACCCAGGTCCAATCCCCAGTGTCCCAATAGGGACCCCAGAGTCCTGCCAGGAGTGACCCGAGTGCAAAGACAGGAGTAAGCCCTGAGCACTGCCGGAATTAGCACACACACACACACACACACACACACACACACAGGAATGAAGCATAGAGAAGAGAGCTGAGCATAGGTGGTAGTGCAGGGGTCCACCTGCACCCCCTGGAGTGACCCCCAAGCAGCAGTGAGCCAGGAGCAGCCCCGGGCACCACATGGTAAAGCTACAAAATAAAAATGAAAAGCAGGACTCACATGCATTCACCATACAAATACAACACACAGCCAATATGAGCCCCAACTTAAAGACAGAAACCAAAGTTACTGAAATGACTTTCTGACCACAGTTCTCCCAGAATGTAAGAGTTAAAAATAAGTAAAAATTACTTTGCTGGGTTTCCGTAATTGTCCAATGACTTTCTGATACAGTCTAATAATTCCCAATTTTCTATACGTTCATGTAACAGGACACTCGAGAATTTCAATCTTTTGTTTTTATTAAGGCAATGACAGCTTGTGACCGAGAAACAAAAATCACTGCAGAATGTGATCAAAAAATGAGTCATTCAGAAACATACTGAATTTTGTATTTC